ACCAATCAACGTTTTGCGCTCAACAGTAGTCGTTATTAGAGTTTTAAAATCCAGACAAAAGGTAGTCCCGCAGGAAGGCAGGTTCTTAGTAAGCGCGTATCAGCATGTACCTGCCGCATGCGCGCCCGCTTCGCGACTATAGACGATCCGCCTCCTTCCCGGACTGACCTTTAGCGCATATGGAGTGTCCACAGGCACCCCATATCTAAACTCAAATGACTCTGTCTTCTTAGTCTTCCAAAAAATCTGTAAGGTTTGTGGGACTCTCTTAGCTCTGCTCAAAGTCTAAATTCAGCAAATTTTATTTCGAAGAAGTACAGTAGAACATTCAAGACTGAAAGTATTTTAATTTCTGGGATTTGAAACAAAATGATAAGTTGTTGCAGTGGCCATGACTCAAAAAATCCTCATTGTGATGATTGTGAGTGGAAACCCAATCGAAATTTTGTGGGTTACTCAGAATTTCTCCAGTAGCTTTAATTTAATTTCAAGAAGCTATATCAGAAAGTCGAAACTTTTAATCGCAATCCACAGTAATGAAAATGATTCGGTTTATATCGCTTGAGTTTGGAATTAACTTTTCATTCACTTATTATGAGATCCTTGAATAAGTCTACGCAGAGTCTAGCTTACAGATATCTTTTTTTACGGGACGCGGCATAGTAATAGTATCAACCCTATCATTTATCATCATTGGGTCAAGAAAAAATTGTTTGAAATTTCTTTTTGAGAGAAATAGAGTCGCTGTAGAAGCGCAGAAACAGAATATGGAACTTACTTCCTTTTGGCTACCATCATAGCCATTGTGTGGGCAGTGATCGTAGAAGATAGATCTACTTGTACTCGTTCTTGCCAGAGAGGTGCTTGGCGATTCTTTATCTCAATTCACATTAGGAACAAACTACCGAGTAGGACTGTATCTACCTGATTTGATTCTTCCAAAACCATCATCATCGTCTAGCTCGATAATACATTTGTGAATCGCTCCATTAGGGGATCGACCGCGATTCGATGGGGTGGGTGAGGAAGGCTTGCTCTGCAAGTCAAAAAATATCTATTTGAGGCAGAAGCTTTGCGGATTTTGGGGTTACACATTCACAGACAAGTCAACAGGTTAAGGGCATAACGACTTACCTGGAAGAGATCTAGAAGAGTTGGTCTGTGTTTAGTTTTCTTAGGTGGTCCTGCTAGATAATTCCCATCTGTCATACAGCAGGAGGGCGTATAGTTCAATAAATCCCTATCACAAGATATCGTACCTAAAATATACGCTTCATAAGCTTAAGTTTCAGAAATGGAGGAGTTTCCGGGTAAGCTTGAGTCTGGGTTTCTTATGTGGATACTGAATAAGAGACCTTATGCGAGCAAGTGGTGCATAGGTTATGCGATGAAATCATAGCTGGGATATTCGACTTTGAGCTGTCGCCCAAAACGTACTCCTTCCTATGACCCGCTATGGAAGAGTACGGTCAGGGCGAGAGTTTGATGTCAGATTTCTCTGCCATGAATATAGCTTACTGGCTGTCGTCTGGCCAATTGCTTGATTAGGACACTTCCATTTGATTTTTCATACAAGAAATCTAGATATGCCTGGGCTCCACTACAGAAGTCCAAAGCTCACCAGCGATGCTAATTTTATCGTAGAGGCGGGCTCCGGCAGCACGACTCAGTGTTTCCTTAACAGGATCAACTGGCTTCTCGATTACAAGTTGTGTCGGTCGATAGGCAAATTCACCCCAGATTGCTAAAAGTGCTTTTCTTTAGTAATGACAGTAGAAGAAAGCAAAAGAAAAAATAACAGCTCCAGGAACAAAAACCAACCAAGGCAAGACAAATAAGTACCCACCACAGTCGTCAATTTGCATCTCTAAAGCCCTCTTCCAATTTTGCGTTATTCTATAGTCCTCTGTACTAATGTAGTAGCGATAATCATCAGATTTCATAGATTTTTGTGATGATAAGAGTATGGTATTCGGATTCGACGTGTTCGAAATCTGCGAGGCCTATAATCAACAATCACTCTGTTTAAAAGAAGCTCAAATGGGTGAATGAACGACATTACCGAGGTGATCGGAACGAGTAATAATGTAGTTTCCTCTGTGGATTGCCGATCCTGGCTATTACTGAAGCAATGTAAATTACCAGCCTAAAAGAATGAACATTTGTATAGGGCAAGTAAATTTTAGTATATTAACATTGATTCCAGAGAAAGTAGGCATGATAGTCGACAAAAAATTTTGTTAAGCAAAAGATAAAGGGTATGCAAGCATCTCCATGAGAATAAACTTTTGAAAAATTCAAGTTCGTGCAATGATAAAGGAAGATTGAAGGTGTTTACGTAACTATAAGATTTGAAAGAATTC